AGGGTTGACAAATATTAAAGTGATTGGCCTTAGACTAAGAATAGTTTAAGGATATTGTTGAATGTTGAATATTGAATATTGAATATGAGTAAATATTGAATGATGAATATTGAATTGAATATTGCAATTATTATGAATGACTGATGAACATTGAATGTGAATATAAATGTTGAATAATGCATGATGAATAATTTTTAATAATTATTGATTATCTGAAGTGAACATTATGTGCATGATATCAAATGATTTGATTATGAATTTAGATTCAGTTTATATGGATGTTCGATGCATTAGATATGCTTACTCAGCTTCAACGCTGAGCGTGTAGTATGTTTTATTTGTTACACGCAGGTTAATGAAGTGACGTGATCCTGGAGGCAGACAGAGGCGAGATGGTCGGAATGGATGTGATGGTTTTGAATTAAAGAACATAAATAAATTATGTTTGTGATTATGATTGTTAAGCTTCCGCAATATTGAAAACTCCGTACTGTTAATATTATGAAAAATATTATTGTGATAAATAAAAGTGTTTGAAATGTTTTAAATTTTTACGATTACCAAGTTAATACTTTAATCTGAAAGGGGCTGCAGACCTGGACAGATTAGGGTGTTACAGTTTGGTATCGGAGCAAATGGTTTTAAAACCGATCTTCGGATCAAAAATTTGAATAAAAAAAAATTGTCAATCACATCCACGACTCTCGCGTCCCTCTGCTCCAGGAAAAAGGTATGAGAATTTACTTGGTAAATAATGACTCTATTAGAATTCTCATTAAATAACAATTGAGTAGTACTGAAACCGTATCGAGCATAGACTCTAGTTGAACTTTTGTACTCAGTGAAGATACGAAAGAATAAACGATATGTTTATAATCTCCTGATACGTTATCAACGTACATTTCGCATCGCAAATGACAAAACTGATCTGCATCGCAAAATTGTACGAAAGTGAGACGACTATGAAGAAACGATAAATGTTGAGAAACATCTGTGAAGCTGATGTCAAAGATCCTCATGTGGACTCAAGACGATCTAATCGCTAATTCAAACACGAACGTTTAGAATTAATAAACTCTGTTATCTAAAGTATCTGATACTATTGTTTGACTCATTAGGACACATTATGCGATTACTTAATGTAAATCGAAATCATTCGTTAAGCAACAATTCTTTGTAAAACATCGTTGAAGTACCATACAAGGAAATCGACATTATCCTTAGTATGCATTAACGGACTGAACATCGTTGCTGTTGTCAACTTATGATGAAGAATTCCTCAACTGAAGACCAATGATGGTAACCTTATAGAGGTGAAAGCAAAGCTGGTTTCTAAACTGACCAAGTTCATCTCGAATATATATGCGAAAACATCTCAAGTGTGAAGTCTATTCGTGTGATACCCAAAAAGGAAAGAAGCCTTTGACTGGAACTTGTAGTGTCCCGCCCTCAAAAAGAAGAAAACCTTTGTTAACTCAACACAAATTGAGAGTGTGGAAACATCCAAAGTGTAACACTTGTAGAAGACATCACCCAGGAGAATGTTGGATGACACAAGGATTATGTATAGGTTGTGGTAAATCTGGGCATTTTCGAAAGGAATGTCCTACAAACCCTTGGAAAAAGCAATGCCGATGGCCCTGTTCAAAGACAGTCTACCTCAGCCCAGCTTGCACTAGAAGGAAATAACCCACAAACAAAATCATGCACATGCGTATGCAGTGAAAGACCGCGTTGAAGAAAACTCTGGCGTCATCATTAATATATTTCCTTATTCGATAATTTATATCCATGTACTGATCCGGGATTTGCACTATCTAATATCCATATAATTCCATGTTGAATAAACCTCCGTTGAGATTGAAAACTCAAGGATTCCTTAATAAAGAATCATTTGATCAAGTGTTTTCTCTTTACCTATTCTGTTCATACGCGAATAAAGAAAGATCGATGAGACTCTTTATCAACTACCGTGAGTTGAAGAATTCATTATCTTACCTCGTATCGATGACTTATTTGATCAGCTTTGAGGATCCATTGTATTCTCTAAGATTGACTTACGGTCATGATACTCACAAATCCCTGTTAAGAAACTTGAACAAACTAATAATCAAGAATCGCTATCCTTTACTATGAACTGACGACTTATTCGGTCAAATTCAAATAACCTCCTTAAGGAAGCTATAGACCACTCAACCTTGTTGAATGAACTGATGACTTGTTATGAAGCGATTAATGACCCAATTGCTTATCATCGAAAACGTCGATGTAGTCTAATTGAATA